TGGGTGCGTGCATGCGCGCCTCTGTGTGTGTGTGTGTGTGTGTGTGTGTGTGTGTGTGTGTGTGTAGCATGTGTGTGTCACATGAATTAGGTGTGAGTACGACACGTCATACTCTCGCTGCTCTGACCAGCAAAGTTGGCACACTGTGAGCAAGGTGCAAGTCGCGGAGGTGATCTTTCAACGTGGCAGGGTAAAACCATATCGTGTGTCCATTTGTGGTGAGGGTACTTAAAGAGCCGTAACGTCGAAAGCATCAAGACGAAGTGAGGGGGGTTGGGGGGCGTCTTCTTTTTGCCGAAGGTGGAGGGACAGAATTTAGACAATTACTTCAAACGGAGGGATGGGGGGAAGGCAAAGGACAGTGAGGCGAAGGGCAGGGAACCAACACCATAGGATGACAACCCATAACACGGCACATGAGCTTAGAGATACAAGAGGAGGAACAAACAGTGAGGCAGCACATAGGCTGAAGGAAACAGCAAAGCAACCAGAAGAAAAGGAAACAGCAAAGGACAGGCTGGAGGGTAGAGGGGAGGAGGGTGGGCAGACAAACAGCACAAGGCAAGAAACAAAGACCGAAAAAATTAAATTAAAAGCTGATGATGAAAGATTGTTTTGTCGAAGTTGCACCGGCTCATCAGGAGGCTGAACCCTCCACAATCTTCGGAGTCTTCGTATTGGATGGTTTGGGTCATGAACCCTTTGACCCTTGTTGAAGGCAGACTGTCCCCCAAATGGGACACAGCAGCGGGCAGCAACCCTGCGGATCACCAGGCAACGCAGTAGAGGCAACACGGCTGCACAACGTCAAAAACGACTGCAAGGAATGACACGGCGCTCAGGACGAGCAGTGCGGCAAACACACTGTGAAGCACAAGGCAACACCAACAAGGCAACCACACAGCAGGGGACGACAACGCTAGCGGTCGAGTAGCATGGCAACCATGGAGTGGAGCACAAGGCAGCACCTACAAGGCAAGTGAACTGCAAGGCACGCAAGCAACAAACACGGAAGGCGCGACCAGCGGATGAGCAGCAAGGCAGCGGAGCAGCGAAGCTGAAGGCAACACCAGCAACACGGCCACACCACACAGTGAACACAGCAATTTGCAGAGAACCACATCCGAAGCAAGCGGGGCAGGCAGCTAGACAGTGGTAGAGCGCAGACGAGGCAGTGCACACATCCAACACGGAGCAAAGCAGCACATCACCTACTCACATCACGATTGAACACCGCACACGGTTGGTTCCCACCACCCACTGAGTCAGGGAGTCGCTCCTATGAACATCCGTCATCACCCACAGGCAACACAGACGTCCCGAACTGAGCAGCCCCGTAAGAGTGTAGGAGACACTCCAAATGAGGAACCACCAACAGTTTGGCACTACTTAAGGGTTCTTGGGTGAGTAGAAGTACTTGGAAAAAATCAGAGGGAGAGCAGACAACAAGAAGAAAACAGGCAGACATAAAACTGATTGTGTGTGTGTGTGTGTGTGTGTGTTTGTGTGTGTGTGTGCATGTGCGTGCGTGTTGTCATGTTTGCTATACCCAACTCCAAGAAACAGCCTGACTGTGCCAGACTGTTCATCGAAGTTCACTGACTCATCACATTACATGTGTGTGTGTGAGTGTGTGCGTGTGTGTGCGTGTGTGTGTGTGTGTGTGTGTGTGTGTGTGTGTGTGCATCTGTTGTGTGTGTGTGTGTGTGTGTGTGTGTGTGTGTGTGGGTGGGTGGGTGGGAGTATGCATGTGTGCACTGCGTTCTCTAGGGCATGGTTGACTTGTACAGTCGGATGCAACCGCTTGTCGACTCATTTGGGAAAAGTGAGGAGGAGGATGTCGACCAGGAAGAGGGAGGTGGAGAAGCAGAAGATGTGCAATTCCAAGGACTAGCTGAAACTTCAGAGTGCGAGGCAAAGAATGAGCAGGAGACCTTAGATGGTGCGGAAACGGAAGAGAAGTCTCCTGCGAATATTCCATTGCAATTCGCCATTGCAGGCAGGCCAAATGTGGGGAAATCAACTCTGGTAATTCTCCCACCCACTCACCCACCTACAATGTGAGGCATTGTTCACTTATTGCTGGCTCCATGCTACCTATATTAATGTGTGGGGAGGTCAGCACTGACAATTCTTTATAATAAAAAAAAAGAATAATAATAATTATATGTTTATACCAGAATCCTATAGTTTTATTTTCGTTTTTGTGTTTATTGATTTTCATTTCGTTATGATCCCGCTAAACTGACAATGCAAAACTTAATGTTGAGATGAATTAGATAATGCAACGTATCTCCCCAGAATGGAAAAAAAAAGAAAAAAAAGATAATGCAACATTTCTCAACTCAAGAAGTGGAAAAAGGCATAGCGGAATAATACGGATGAGGAAAGAAGAAGAAGAAGACGAGAAAGAAGAAGAAGAAGAAGAAGAAGAAGAAGAAAGACAAGTTTGAACCAATGTCATCCCCCTCTCTTCTTGCCAACTTCCATCTCCTTCCCCTCATCTTCTCCTCCTCGAATAACCATTAACTAAAACAACAGTAAATCAATGAATGAAAAAGAATCAATGTCTGGTTACTCCCCCTTTACTGCCGGCATTTTAAGAGCTCTCCTTTCCACTTCAATCTCTCTCCTCTCCTCTTGGTTGCATAACAACTGTCTTCCCCTGAATATAATGTACGTCGTACAGTCATTATAGCTGTTACGGACTTCGCCAGGGCTCGATCCCTGGTCTATCTTTTGCGGTTTCGGCTGCATCCCGTTTTCGGCCTGGCACCCTTTTTCCAAACCCCTCCTTTTGGTACCGTAGGATTTTGGACAACTGGCGCCATGCTGCAATTCGGGCGCCACT